CTCGGGGGCCCCGCTCTTTTTTCCTCCCCTTGCTCCCCGGCAACTCCCTCTCTTATGTAGGTTCTGATTCCACGTCTCGTCCCTTCCCCCCTTGGAAGAGAGAGGACTTATCGTTCCGGAATCGGGGCGCGAGTGAAGAGGAGACCCTCCTCCGTTTCTCTTTTCTTATCCCGCACTGTCATGCGTTCCCGCGTACGAGTGGACGCGTGCGCGTGAATCGAGGCGCGGTTCGCGCTCGTTGTGTTAACGAGATGTGACCCCGGCGACGAACGTTGCAACAGAATTCTCATCTCCGAGATCATCGTCGAGAGATCGCAACGAGGTAGAGCCGGCGGAGCAGAATCGTTAGCGCTCGACGCTTCCAGGGGCTTTTAAACGGCGCGACTATTCTCAGTTCTGTTTTAATACTCCGCTCCTTCCGCTCGCCTCTGTCTTCGTCCTCGTGCTTCATGCCTGGAAGACGCCGGGATCGTTTCTCATTCGCCGCAGTCGTCGTAGGTGTATATACGGCCGGCCGGTTGCGCGCGCGGCGAGAGATTCCCATTTATCAGGGTACATCCGCCGGAAGTGGGGCGGCCCCCGTGCGTAGGTGAGACGGTGAAGAAGCGAGAAAGAGAAACGGCGCGTAGTCTGCTGGAGAAGCGGGACCAGGGATCTGTTTATTAATACCTGCGACATCACCGGAGTCCTTGGGGGCGGCAAATGAAATCAGTACGGATACCGTGCGTTCAGATTTCGACGCAACGGTTTATCATCTTACTCCGTGAATCATCACTGTTTTTTTTTCTTCTTCTTCCTCCTCCTCCTCTTCTTTGTGCATTAGGCTTAAAGGCCTGTTTTATTCAGTTCCTTCTGGTACCTCGAGCATTTGGTTTTACTTCATCTTCGGTGGGCTGCTAACCTTGCCGAAGGAAACCTCCCATCTGGAGGGCTGTACCACCCCTGAAGGGGTATAGTACGGCAGGATACTTTCGGTGGTTGCCGCTTCCCTTCGGGAGATTCCGAAAAAAGCAGCGACGTCCGTGGATTTGAACTCTGATCTTTTCGTTCAGTTGCTTACTAATTGTAAACAGCGCACATCTCTTTACGCCACACTCGCCGAGTTTCTTTTCTTCAACGATACTAAATTCCCGTTTTAGCTTTACGCATCCTTGTTGCGACTTGCCGTATATTTCGTAAACTATTTTCGAAATCAGTTGGATGCCGCGAAAAATATAACGCTATTAAAGGTACGATACGCGATACTCGAGAATTATCCGAGTACCGTTTGTCGAACGACGAGTTTCCGCATGTAGCGTGAATTCCACATGACTTCCTATATTGCTCCGTGTCCTTGTCGTAAATTAAACGCAACAATTCGCAGATATCCTGACGCGTAGGATAACTCGTAACGATCGTATCGATGGTATCAATTACTGGAATACCGCTGCGGAGCTCGAGCCGCTCGTCGCCGATCGACTCCTTCCCAGAAGGTAACCCGCCGCGATTATCTTTAATGGCAAACACCTTGACGGTGCGCCAGGCCGAGCGAGATCGACTGCGGTGAGATCAAGACCTCCGGGACAAGCGCGGCGCGGTTGATCGCAAGGCGATTCTTGAAATCGCAAAGGCGGGGGCTTAGAGATCGAATTGCGATAGACGTTTTATTGTCCATCTACATTTTTATTTTATCTCGCGGGTTTATATATCGGGCCTTATTTGTACTCTCCCATCTGGACCTTTTCTCCTCGGTTCGTGTTACAAAGAGGACTCATTATAATCGATAGATACCTATAGATACTTCCGCGACCGGGCCCGCGAAAATCGTGCTATATTAAATTCTTAATGAAAGATTCTTAAAATAACCTTCTACGAGTGCGTAGCTGGAAATCAACGGTGCAGCTAGCGGGAGTGGAGAGAAAAGAGAGAGAGAGAGAGAGAGAGAGAGAGAGAGAGAGAGAAACGGAGCAAGACGCCCAGCCAATAAATTCCACCGATTATTAAACAGATTCTATGCCCGCCTTCTAATATACCGATGAACCTCTGAACGCGCCTTCCCATCAATCCGTTTCGCCCGAAAAAACACAGCTGAAACTATAATAAAAGCAAAGTGTGGAGGTTAAAGCTCGAGAAACGAGAAAAACAACCGATGTTTATATTATAAAAAATGAGTTCTCACGTGCGATGTTGGGTCGAGTGAGATGTACGTCAAAACTGAAACGTTTATGTAGATAGGTAAACTCGCGAATTTCTAAATGATAATTATATAACTAGCGGTTTCAAGTTTAATACATCGCTATCGTATATATTATATAAACGAAATCGTGTCGAACAACATATACGAAAATGCGAATAAAATTCGCGATGTTTCGGGTATCCAAGCGTGTCGCTTGTTCCAACATTTAACAGCGTTCCAACGTAACTGTAAAGTCGTCAATGTGCGGTAAGGTATACTTTCTTATCGTAGAATATCCTTTGCACAAACGACGCTTCTCTCCCCCTCCCCCTCCCCTCCCCCGGTACGCACGCGCACGCAGATGACCATTCGTCTTGAAAAAGAAGCGCGACACGACATTTCGTCGCGATTGGATCTCCGCGCTGCCTCTCGCAATTTCCACGTTCGTGCGCGAACGACGCCGGCGGCTCGTCGGAATTTCTCGGTTACATCATCAAAAGTTTTTGCGGCGCTGCGCACACGCGCACGTATGCAGCGTACGCGCTCGTACGCCGCCTATGTCCTACAAGCCCGCTGGACAAAGTTGTGGCCGGTATCAATTGGCCGTGCTCTCCGCGTTGTATACCGGTCGACCTTCTGGAGTTGCAACACGAGACCTGACACAGATAGGAGAGACTGCGCTGCCGCTGCGCCTGCTGCAGCAACACACAGCGAACCAGTCGGCCCAGGCATCGCTCAGGCTAACGTAGTGCATGCCTTGCGAAACTGCAGGCAGGCCGGCCGGCCGTTCGTTTCAACGGGGAAAAACCCGTTAATTTCGTCGGGATAAAATCAATCAAAGTGAGATAAAATCGCGCCGCTAGAGCCTGGAAGATCGCCTCGATTCGCCGCGACTCGAGGATCGATTAGAAGTGCGGCGCGCGAGGCGATGGCCATATCGCGGAGCGCGAAGACCGCTTCGCGCTGCTCTTTTCGATGAAAAACGACCCGGCCATATAGAGGTGATCCTCTGTCCGACGAGCCTCGGCCTTATTCCCTCAAAACGACCCTGACCACTCGATGTCGGCCAGTGGCGTAAAAAGAGGATGATTTTTTTGAGAACGGGCCGTGTAGCGAACCGCCGGCATGTTAGGAGTAATGTAACAGTACATTTGGGAAATGCCATCAGGTGTACGGTAAAATATATATTTTACTATCGTAGCGTTGCCGCAACGAAAGTGGAAGTTCACGAAAAAAAAGGATTAAATCTCCGTTACAACGATCCGTTATAACGACTATTATCTACGTACGCTCGCCATATTCGCGCGTTATTGCGAAAGGAAGTTGTGTCGGAACATTTTTTTGACAGGCGCGATAATTAATAATTTCCTAATGAACGTGAGGCTAATTGCGTTTCTGCATAATCACTTCTCGCTCGGTCGACGATCCTGTTTCGCCGGGCTGTGTTTAGAGAAGAGCTTTGTACGCGCGTATATGGCGCGGTGCTTAAGCCGGAGACAGACTGACCGCATTAATCGTGAAAGGGTTGAGAGGTTCGTTCGCGCTACTGATCCGAGATTCCCGACGCGCGTCACCTTCGCAACGCGGCGCAACGCCGAGGCGTAAGCAATTTGCGTTTCGACGAATCGCGAGTCGCCGCCGGCTCTTGATCTGGGACAATAAAGTCCACGGTCTTCCTGTGGGCGTATGGTAACGCGGATAGCCTTCGATAGCTTCTGCTTGACCGGCACACGTCTTATGCCGCGCCGCAATGTAATAAAAACTTGTCAATTTCATCGAGTTCGCTCATTTTCTATATGAGGTCCAACGTTACCGTCAAGTATAATTAATAATTAAGGAATATCGTTAATAAATTAAAAAAGGGAGAGGAAGTCATCAACAGGTGACCTCGATTAATAAGATACTTCATTTTTATGTATAATTGTGTATTTAATACACAATTAAATACTGAATACAGCAGACACCGGTCGGTTTTTTTCAATTATTCATTCGGTTCTAATAGCTCATAATAAATCACGCCCTTGGTATCCCGCCAAATGCAGAGCAGAACTTTCTTTCCGAAGCGATTGGGCTTTGCGACCGATGTTGAGGGTTCGCCGGGATTTACCCGTGATTTTCTGCGTTTTGGATTGTCATAGAGTATCCACTTCTCACCATCCGTAACAATTTTCCACAAGAAAGACTATCTACGCTGCTTATTGAGAAGAGAAAGACATATGCCGGATATGCACCTTATCCGTTGTCACTTTTGACTTTACTAAACTGAATAATTTTTATGGTTATGCTGAGGCCTTCCGCCATACTAAATATAATTTTCAATAGCTATATGTCAACGCTACGTAGCCTTAAAAGAGCGGAAAAATTAGATTAAGTATTTGAAACTTATTTTCTCAGTCGCTTAAAAAAGTTTGAATTATTCATTTGTACACCTAATATATAGATTTACGTGACGAAAATAAATGCGGATTTTCCGCGGTCGCATATATTGGTATATAAACTTGGGTTCAATCAAGAACGAGAATGTGCTGAGACGTTCTCTTAAACGCGTTAATATTTAAAGGACATTTTTACAAAAACAACACGGAGGCTGCGTAGCAGAGCTAAGTAAGGCCGCAGAGCATCTGGCCCTGTGTAACGATGCGGTTACGCCGCGGCTGCGTTCGCGCGGTATTATCATAACGGGTAGTTGCGGAAAATGAGTTTCACGAACTTTTAAACGCGTCGCGAGAGTTTCGTCCCGTTCGCTTTCGTATCGCGCAGCCTAGGGCGAAACCGTTGGACCGCTGTAGCACGACTCGAATGGAAAACGCTTCAGTACCTAACGGTGGCTTTCTATCTCTTGCAGGAGAACATCTCGACCCCGGAGCCCACGGACATACCCGAGGACGATCACTACCCAAGTGAGCAAAACCTTTCATTATCTATATCCATTCCGTAGCGTAAACCTTGCCGAGCCCCTCACGGTCGGTGTCGGAGGTGTCCCCCTCCGAACCTTCACCCGAGTAAGGATTACGAGATCGTAGTCCTTACGAAACAAGGTGCACAGGCGTACACTGGCCGCATGCACGCGTGCACGCCTGCGTGCGTGCGTGCGTGCGTGCATGCGAATGTTAGCAAAGTTTTTATCCCTTGACACGATCCGCCCAGAGTATCTCGTATGGAAGAACCGTCCCTCGTCTCTTTCGTGCATCCTCTCGCCATCGCGGGGTCAGGTCGCAACCGTTTCGGGAATCTGACCCGAATTCTACGGCAGCGCCGCACGTTTTTACATTATTGAACCGTGTCCTGAATGATTTAAACGTCACTCCGGCTGCTGCCGGCGCGCGGCCGGTTCTCCGCCTCACCCTTTCTCTTTCCCCCCGGTCGCCCCCTCGCACCCGCCGGTTTGTTCGCCGGCTAATAAATCTCTGCTCTCGTCATCGCGCGGCCGAAGCGCCCGTCCGCCGTGTGTCACCGCTAATTCCGCCGCTCGGACGAACAAACGGAACCGCGCCCGCGCGATACGCTAGAAAATCTGCGGATTGTCCCTTTGAACTCTCCGGTCCGATTACGCGCGGTTGTGCGCCGGGGAACTACGCGGAACATCGTTATTTCAGTCGTTCCCGCGGAATTTGCGCGAATTAATAGTAAGCTCGTTCGTACACTTCACCCACCGTTGCTGCCGCCGTTACGCATTATTATAGTAAGCTGAATTGACAGATTGAATTTCGTCCGCGACGTACTCTAATCTTACGCGAACGAATTTCGGAGATTTTTGATATCTTTTATCAGGTTGAAAAAAAAACTCAAAACCTTTGTTCCTCTTCGACTTCTTGTGCTCGGATATATGTATTGTAAAGTAGACACGCGGAGGATGTAAATGATAAATTGTTATTAAACGTCGCAATTTGAATTAATAAATTATCGAAAGGGATGAAAATGGATTACCTCAAATAGATTATGTAAGATTATTTAAATGGGAAGATAAATTTTTCAGTGGATAAAACGCTACGTTTAGTGAATCGGATATTCTTCGGACATTTTCCGGTAAATCCTAGCAGGATCTCAGATGGTAATAAATCACGGTATAATAATCGAAAGGTTAATATCGGCCATTCGATTCCGATGTACGTTCGCGGTGGCTCGCGTGGCACGGATCGATATAACGAATTAGTAGTATCGAGCGCGTTACTCGGCGCCGTGCTTTCGATTACGGTTTCACGACATGCAGGAACGGTTCGTCTTCGATGTTCGGGGAGAAACGAACGTATGTAAATATCACGTTACGGTGTGCGGTCAGATAAAAGAAAAAGACGATCAATGATTCCACGAGAGAAGTGTGTAGAAGAAATACATGTACATGACACCTACATGTATACAGACACGTACACAGACACCGACCGTTCCGAACGTTCAACGAGTTTGCCTGCAACCAAATTCTTTTCGCTGGACGACAACGAGACTACTTGGGAAACAATTTGGAAACGAAAACCAAATCAGGAGGCGTTATCTGCCTTACTTACGCAAGGTAACAATAAATTGTTATTTAAGAAATTGTAAGATTAGTGGCGTCGAGTTTAAACATTCAAAATTCCGGTAACGATCTTCGTGATGAAACATCTTTTTGTTCTACGTGTACGCGGATCGATACCTCGTAATCTCCTTTTGTTTTCCACTTACACGGATTAAATGTCACGCGTTTGGCACACTGTACTTTGATTCTCTCGCTAGATAGCTATCCTTTCGATTCGCATGTTTTAATTGCCCTCCTTCGCACTATCTCGGATAATGCTCGAGTGTCGCGCGTAAGGCCGCGACTGTGTGCGATAAGCAATGAGCTACAAGTTGCGAGTAGACGAGTTCATCGATCTATCTACTTGTTCTTTGTTGCATATGTGTAGAGATAAATTCTTATTTGTTACATCTGCAATAAATCGATCTTCGTGAAATCAGTTTAGATCGATTAGAATTCCAATATGTGAAAGACTAACGTCAATATTGCCAGAAAACATCTTCGTGGCAAACGTTGCTTATCGCTGCGTCGTTCGCCAATGTCCACGCGACGGGCTTCGTCGTATCGGTCGCGATTTCGGGCACAATCAGTTGTCGGCGTCGTAATTTTCGTTTGCGTTGCGCGAACCGCGTTGTTTACTCATCGGCCCGGTCAGCGCAAGCAAACTGTTGAACGGAGTACGCGAAGAGACACACGTTATCGCTCGCCCCTAGGACATCAGTCGGTGCAACGAGACGACGAAGTCACGGGGCGTGCGACGCTAAGAATCTCCTTGGATCTCGCCAGGCCCCCGGTGGATACCTCACGGAGCGAGTCCTGTTGACAGGACGTCATTAATCGCACCGTCAAATTCTACCGCGACGCCGATCGATAATATAATCGACGTCCCCCGATTGCGTCCAAGGATAAATCAACGGCGCATACTTCGGCGGGCAGTTAATCGTAGACTCACTTGCTCGCGGGGCTCAATCCCGGCGTGGCCGCGGGGTTGGTTGGTTTTTGTCGGAGCCCGTGTAAATTACCCGATCGATTAATAATCGTAAACTGCGCGCGGTCCACCGCCAGCTGCGACGTTCGAGCTATGCGGCCTGCCGTCCGGCCGATTTATCAGTTTCGGGTAATTAAACCTGTTGCGTTATTAAATCGAGTCGACGACGTCGTCGTTTTGTAAGCTTAATTTATTCGAACCCGCGATTCGCTCGCCCGGAGCTCGCCTCGCGAGCTCAGGTAGCTGATAAGTGATAATAGCCTCCGGCCATACGAGGCCGGCCACCGGAGGTAGAAGACGAATGTCGCGACGCGACTCGCTCGTGATATAAGATCGCGTCCGGATGGCTCCGCTCGCGTATCGAGCGACTCCCGTGGGCGAGAAAAAATTGCCGAGTTAACGTGAGCCTCGCACGCGCGCCGTCCACCCGTTTGCATAATGATATCCTGACTTTTTCAAGCCAATTGGCACTTTTAATTTTGGCAGGCGCGCTCATGAAAGACCCGGATAAGCTGAAGTTGATGCTGCTCGCGTGGAATTACAATCTCCAGGCGCAGGTACAGGCGCAGGCACAGGTCCAGGCTGCCAACGCGGCCCTCTCGCCAAATAACTCGTCGACTACCACGGCTACCACCGTTGGCACACCAGTCACCAGCCAATCGGCCATTTCCACGGCAAACAACACCATTAACAACTCTACACTCACAGGTAACACTTTATTTCGCCGGGCGACATATGCGGCGTTTTCGAGTGGTGTCATCGTGTCCTAAGCCATGAAAGTGTATGCGTCAATTACGCGCAAAATATTAAGAACAAGTGGTGTTACGAATGTTTCGACTTCTTCTTGCAGATCAATTGTATGATTTTTAGCGAGAAAAGTGTTGGAAGAGAAGACAATTTTTTTTTCTCTACCCTGGGAAAAAAGACAGCAACCCATTTTGGGGCCCACAATTAGTAATCGAATTATTTGGATTGTCCGTAACTCTACTCTGGGAAAAATTTTGACCGTTCTTCTTTGTAGTTAAGCAACTTAACATTTCGGTTAGTGCCTCTTGCGTGAAAATTATCTTTGCGTTACTGAATATCGACAGAACTAATTGAGAGAATAGATTAGTGTTACTTAAAAATCTTGGATATAGATAGAATAAGTAGTTAATTGCGATTTTTAGCTGCGCGGGGTAAAATTCGTAAAAGATTAGAGTTACGAACAGTCCAAATAATTCGATCACTAATTGCGGGGCCTCAAAATGGATTGCTGTCTTGAAGCAGCGATCTTGAAGACCGTAGGTATTATATAAATTTTTCCTTCTTTCTGATAATGTTTTACACAATATTCGAAACAAACTTCTCGAAATCGCTTTTTTTTTTCTTATTTTAGCTCTCAACGAGTTCTTACCGTGAAATCATACATCCTAGGATTGAATGTCCTTAACTATTTTCAACTACGAATGAGAATCAATCGAGATCAGTGGCATTACGTGCAATTTCGACCACAACTTTGTACTGTGATTGCGAACGTCACAGGGTACACACACAAAAAAAAGAATTGCCTCACGAAATCGACAGGCGAGACATTTAACGGAATCCATTACGGGACGAAAGATGTCTAGACGTCTTTCTCTCTTTCTTTCTTCCTCGTCGCGAAAGGACTCGGCGAAGTTACGTACGCCAACGTCCCATTGATGTCGCCCTGACTGACGAAATCCCACTTATGAAAAGAACCTTGCTCCGCCTGGCGTAAGCGCGGCCGCAGGCTTTAATGCTCAAGTTTTGCGTCCTTCTCGCGCGTGTGCGGCGCGGCGCGGCGCGGCGCGGCGCGGCTCGGCCCGATGGAGTGAATTGCAGGTTTCGCGGGGCCAAGGTGTACCGGCCATTTAGCTCGTAAAGTTTTGTCGTCGCGCGCGACGTGACTAATGGATCGCCGACCTAGGACGTACCCCATGGCGTAGAAAGAGAAATTCGACGCGCGTCTCATTTGCCTACGTGTATTCGCGTATCGTGCACGCGCGTATACGTGCGCGCGGTCTCTCTCCTCGCTGTTCCACACCCACGCGTTCCTGTGAAATGCGCGTCAGGGTGAATCGCGGGGATGAGACACGCCGTGAATCCTCGTGCTTTTCCCCGCCGGCGATGAATCAGTGCGGGCGGAAAGCTGCACGCGCGAGAGATGAGGAATGCAACTGATATCTTCGAATATCAATACCTCTCTTGGAATTCGCGACGCGAACACGATGCGCATTGTTGTACGTCATCCTCGTTCATTAATCCTTACGTAATCACGCGCAGAAACTTGCATTCTTTTGCGCCATCGCGAAAGAAATCTTGTCTAAGCGGCGTCCGTTAAAACTCGATCGTTTTGAGTCGATTTCCCATATTTCTAATATGTAAGCTTTTCAGGTCTGGTTTCACCAACGTCGTTTAACCTTAAGCTTAGCTTAATTCGTTCTTTATCTCTTTCCAATTGTTACTTTAGAAAGAGACAAACATGAATTAAACCGAGATTAAAGTTAAGCGACGTTTGGTGAAACCGGGCCTTACAGGCTCGCCTTTTCACTTGCTGCAATTCTAACGCGAGATTATTGCAATGTTAAAATATCGATTGCATTTCCTAGATTCGCTAGATAAGGAGGGAAGACACGCGCTCAAGACATCGCCGTACTTTGATACCTCGCGCTCGAGAGGTCTAGTTGAATGTAGAGCCGAGTCATGTGAATGGGAGCGACGAATGTAATGCGGTAATTGTGTCGACCGATGGACATTGAAAGTTGAATATCGAAAATCGCAGAGTGGGCGCGCGGAAAGGCCATTAGTCGCACTATTACGATATCGCAAGTGGGTCTCGTAAAACGATTTTGAATTATAGCCCAAGCGCCGCGTTGTTAATGCTTATCCAAGCTATCAATTTTTTTTTCAATGCAAGGAACGTTACGATTTCCAGCAGACCCGAGTTTCGTCATGCAAAAAAAAAAGATTAAACATATATTGCATGTACTTCTAATTCATAATTCAAAGCCGCATAAAATTTTATGAAGCTAATCGTCTTTTAGTGAAACTCGGTTTTAATTAAAATTTTACGAATCCGACGGATTCGCATTTTTGAACAAAAAGATTAAATGCTTTCTACGATAAAATATAATAAATTAAACGAATTGCAAATAGCTGTAATCAAGAATTGCCCGATTATTCTACAAACTCAACACTTTTCTTGTCATACGTAAGATATTCTCAGCAACGAAAGAAACGCGTGTTAATTGTCAGTGCGTCCTTAATATAGCGATAATCGCGCAACGATCTCCAAGGCGCCGAACGTTTCCGCGCGATACTGCATGCTCTCGGGACTCGTTGTTCAGTTAGGTTGCGGAAGGATAATTCACCGTGTCCCTCCGCCTCTTCCACCTATCCTCCCTGGCAGCTATTTGAAACTGGTTTCGAAGCGGGCCTCTATATCTCGGACGTAGTCATTGCGTAATGAACCAGCCATCGGTCGAAGAGACGAGTAGATATGTATACATATATATATATCTACATATTCATATAGATATATTATATATAGATATTATAGATATATATAGATAGATATATACAGATATATTCGTATATACTTATACATATGTATATGTATGCGTATACATTCACTGCACAACGGACAGACCTCTTCTCTCTCGTCGCACCAACCCTCTCTCTTTCTCTCTCTCTCTCTCCCTCCCTTCCTCCCACGTGATGACCAGCGTAGATTCCACATCTCGCACGGAGGACTTCTCTCATCGGAGTCTGTCCACTTCATGCATTTCGCAAATCGATTTCAAGATACAGCCGCTTCTTTTGCCGCGCCATCACACGCGGGAAAAGGAGTCGTCAGTTTATCAGTCGCGAGTTACAAGTCCGCGACTCGATCCGAGTCCCAATCTCCTGATGTATTCTCGCGAAATTTGCATTTTCAACCGAGAATTCGAGGCCGTTCGCGATTTTGCGTACACTCTGCTAAGATACAAGAAGCAATTGTTTAATATTCAGTAATACGTATATCGAAAATATATTTTCATATATACGTGCCGCGTACACATATATGCATATTAGATACTTTTCTTATGTTAAGATTATTTATATTAACATGATTTTTAATATCCGTATAGAAAATAACCTTTTCCGAAGTGAAATTGCGACGCGTATTTAAAAAAATCTCTGAATCGTGCTACAAATCGAACGCTCGGAAAAGTTACTGTATTTATTTGTATATCTTGATAGAAAAGACACACGGCGATGACCGCGAGGACATCTTGGTTTCTCATCTCTTAATGCACTCCGCAGAGTCGACGTAATATTTATAATTTATAACGGACGCAACTTTCCCCAACGGACGCACACGCGGCGATTATGCTTGCGACGTATCACAAAATCACAATGTCTTAGCTTCCGGATTTGAACTATGCATCAGGACAGTCGTACATAACATTTATCTCAAGTATTTATCCTTAAAGATCGCCTTTTAGATAATAATGAATATCGCATTTGCATTTCCACTTCAAGTCACTAATTGCACTTAAGATTCACAACCGTGAAATCTACATATCAGTTATTACCCTTTTGTATTTTATTTTATACTGAAAAGTAAATGGATACATTCGAAACTAAGAAAGCTGGATGGAAACTCGAAAGATTTCAGTAATTTGTGGATCCGATTTTCGAGCGAAGTAACGAATTAATCTTGAAATAAGAATAAAAAAGATAGAAGTATTATTGGAGCATTATTTGGAGATAAAATCGGCAATACAACAATAAATGAATAAATAAATGAAGATATTGCTGAGAAAGCATCATTTTGTCAAGCATAATCGGCGAAAAGTATAAACCGGGAACTTCCGAATTCTCTTTCACGTCGACGCGAGCACGCACATGCCATCACGAGCAAAGTTCTACTATGGCCAGTGACATTTATGAGGGACAAGATAATACGTCTTCGTCCATCCTCGCGATTGCACGTTACGAGCGGTAGACAGTTTCATACCTAGCCCGAAGTACCGTGGGCGTTCGTGGCTTGTCTGCGGATTTTGTAGCGCGCTAGGCTCGCTCAAGACACATACATACGCGTACACGTACACGTAGCGGGCCGCCTAGAAAAAGAGGAAGTGCCCGGTGTGGTTGTAGGGGCCGGGGTATTAGTTTCCCTTTGCGGGAACGCGAGGTCGAGGGAATGAACCAGGAGGAGGACGAACTGCCGGGTGGGGCGCCGGCCGACGCCGTCGCCGCCGCCGTCGACTCATTTCAGGTTCAGGCCAGCGGCCAAGAGGCGAGCTCAGGAACGGTGCTAGATGGTGTGGGATTGGGATTGGTAACCGGCTTTCTAGCCCGTGCGGGCAGTCTAGCCGTGCGTCCAACTTCGCTTATGTGCGTGCTGTACCCTACCTTCTCCGACTACTCCCCGGCGATACCCGGCATATGCTCGCCGCAGGCCGGGAACCCTCTCTCGCTGCGTGCGATGCCGTACCCTCCTAGAGAGCGTTGCGCACGTACACATATACGCGTTATGTACGTGCGTGATTCTTTTCCGCGGCCGCGCGTACCACATGCACCGTATGCGTGTGCGTGTGAGAATCGAAGTGCAGCAACCTCCGGGGCCGGTGGGACCGCGTGAGCAGGAGAAAGACGGAGGAAGGAGAGAGGGAGAGGCAGATAAAAGAGGAAAGAAACGTATGGTGCCTCCGCCAGCACGTCTCCTGGACGAGGGTCCAGTTTCCTAGGTCGCCCGCTCGCGCGTTCAGTTACTGGTTCTACCGGAATCCTCCTAGAAAGATGCGTTGCGATCGTTGAACAACTCGAGGAATCAGGATCGCCCGTTCGAGCACCCGAGATAGCTGCGCCCAGATAGACTTTGCGTCTTCGCGCGGGGGAAGTTGAAGCACCCGGCGGAAAGTTGCCCCTTGACGATGCAAATGTTCCAGGACGTTGCCTTGCAACGCGTTCGCCTCGACGGCGTCTTGGAAACTACGCTCGGAAGAATTCGATTCCAGAATGCAGATTACTTCGCGCACACAGCGCGAGGGAAGTAGATCTAAGAACGTGCGCGCCCGGTTGAGACTAGCCGGATCATCAGAAAACAAACACATTTCGTAAACGTATCTCATCATTCGTCCCAAAGCACTCTTATTTCACATTATTGCTCCAAATATGTCCAATTTTCGATCTGGGCCTTAGTAATGAGCAATAAAACGTTTTTCACGTCATCATCTTTCGATCGTTCAAGGGAAGTGGTAAAGCTTGAAATGTCGAAGAATTATCCTTTCCGAAGTGTGATCCTTTACGATTTGTGTTCAATTTTTTTTAAAATTCGCAAAATCAAGCTCAGGAGAAAAACAAAAATATGAGACCGTGCACGGCCAGCAAAGTACCCGCGTGTAGATAACGGTTCGCCTTTGTGCCGCACTTTCCCCTCGTGTCGGAGTCTTTCTGTGTTTATTATTAAAATCTGTAGAGATTTAACCTACGCGTAAATTTCGAATTCGATCTCAAAGAGAGGGAAAGTTAACAGAATTCAATTTTTGTTCTTAGTAGAGTTCAAACGACTGTGCGAGAATCTCTCTTGTTCTTCTTTGCGTAAAAATAGAATCGTTTAACAGTGAAATAGGTTTCGTACACTTATAAGCATCCTAGCCGTGGAAAAAACTTTCTGGAAATCACTTAGCAAGGATAAAAAGAGGTGGGTTGAACCCACGTCATCATCAACTAGACGCAAATTCGCTTTACAGAAGCCTCTCACGTGCATGTGAGAATCCTAACGTCGCATTTGAAATGATAAACTTATCCATCGCGTTTTTTTTCTACACTGAACTTGCTGCGTGTAAAGTTGTGTGCAAAACTAAAGTTAATTAGACACACAATTAAAATTTCTTTTGAAATGTACATCCTATATTTAAGAGTCAAAATGTATCTTGTATATTTACGAGAACAGTAATTTGAGCAGCGTGTAGAAAATTAACGCGAGCCCGCCCGGATGGGCTTTGTACGGATGCCCCTGTCGTTGACGTGCGATTGTACGAAACGGCAGCCGCAAACCTGTCTCTCTCTCTCTCTCTCTCTCTTTTTTAATTGGAACCAAGGAGAGCCCCAGGTGGAAGAGGTCCGCGAGGCTCGCTAGCCTCTTTATGATCCCCCTGCGGCACTCCCTGCCGACAATCCATACACTTCTTCGTACGTGGAGTCTCTCGACGGCCACGACTCGTACCTGTCCCCGTCGACATCCTCCTCGTGAAAGCACCTCTACTGTACATTCTCTCCTGGGATCGTGACGGTAGAAGACCGCACCGCCTTTTAACACCTTGCACACGCTATCGGGGCTTATTACGGGTTTTGAGAACGGGTCGCCGTTATTATTGTAGAGAAGAAACACGGTCTACACAGCCGACCGAATGACGGTCCAATCTTACTGTCGTCGACACAATTGACATGCTAAGTTTCATTCTGCCTTCCAGAGAGAGTCCAATGCAATCTTGCCTGCCTCGAACCTTTCCCAAGGCGAGAAACCTTGGCTCGGTATCACTTTTTTTTTATTTCTTAAGACTTCCGCAAGAATTTTAATACGGTGAAATTAATTCTGAGCGAATTGTAATCCAGTTGGAATAACGGAATCATAGAGGTATCGATAAGAAAAAGTTTGAAATCAAGGTTGCAAACTCTAATTATGTTGTCGAGATACATACACGTAGTGCGCCGATACTACTGTACTTATAACCGAGGCTATAATCCAAAAAGTGAAGTACAGCCAAGTGGGGTTGCTTAACGAAGACGGCGTGAAGTAAATTAACTTCTGACTCTTTGGCTATCTGTCAATATTTTATATTTATCCCAAATCTCTCGCGCCGACTTTATTATACAACAATTATTTATCAGGTATCCAATCTGTACACTGAGAAAAATGTCCGATTAAATATAATCGGATAATCCAGTTACATAATACCAAACGGATATATCCAATTAAGTTGTATATCCGATGAAAAATGTGATCGGTGCTTCAATAAAATTTCATCGGATAATTTTCGTCGGATGTATCCATAACTTAATCGGAAAATGTAATCGGAAAAATTAACCATCGGAAACACTATTTAATTGGATTATCCGATGGATAATTTTTCTCCGTGTAATATTGTTAAAAACTCGCCCAAAGAAAGCCTTTCGTGAGATACCGAAATTCAACAGTTGATATCGGCAATAACACGCACGTGCTGCGGGTATAAGGCTAAGGGAGGCTCGTTTAGGAAATGCTAACCTTCTGTTCGATCATCCCTAATCAGTGTGGTCACGCGAGCCAAACGTACATCGCGTTTATCGTTATTATATTCGCGGGATAAATACCACCCACATGCCTCCCTCTCTCTTTCCCTCCCTCCCCTCCCTCCCTCTCTCTCTCTCTCTCTCTCTCTCTCTTTCTCTCGCTGCTAGTCGTGTATCTAGTCAGCCGCACATGACCGGCCCTCACTTGGCCACGGCGTGGGAAGGGAAAAAAATATTCCCTTCTTTTGTTCCAACCAGCAACGTTCTCTATTCATAAATCGAAACAGCGCGAGGCGGCGATCTAATCATCGCGGCACGGCGGGCATTCAACGAGAACATTATTATTTTCCTGGCATTGCCGCGATGGAAGGCTCCCCTTTTACCAGATAATTACCGATCGCGAATGCAAAGTGTTTCTATCACCAAATTTGCGTTATTAATTAGTAGTAATTATTAAAAATACCATTGTTCATATTACGATCATTATTGATGCTAATAATACTAATAATGTCCATTTCAATAAATGACATTTAAATAATAATAATTAATTATTATCATTACCGTTATTAAAACGTTAATTATACCTGTACGAATACGTGTCTGATTGAAGGGAATTACAAAAATTTAGACTTTAGACTTGGCAGAGTGTGTGCTAATCCATTACCAAACGTTCATTTCCGCAGATTCACGGAACGGCTCCTCGGAATTGGTGGACATGCCACCGGTAACCGTGTCGAATTTGAACGCCGTGACGGGCGTCGGTAGCGAGGACATGGCCTCCTTGTGGGCATCTTACGCCATGAGTTACGCCAAGAAAGCGTCGCCGCCGGCGTCGTCGGCAACGCCCTCGCGGTCGGATCGCGAGCGCGAGTCCAGTCCGCCCGGTGGCGAGGGGACAGGAAGCGCCCACGACGAGACCAGCAGTAGTGGTAACAAGGAAGACGAGGACGACGATGATATAGACGCGGACGAAGGACTGGACCCGAGACACCATGATCCAGAACGTCTCAAGGCGTTCAACGTGAGTATACGCGATTCCATTACGTAGCTCCGTAAAATTGGTCCCTTCAAACGCGCGGAATATTCGAGAAATATCTCGAATCGAAAATTTGCTAAGTAATTAAACGACAATTAGCGATAATTATTGTTCTCGTTACCCGATACGAACTTGGCGAATCAAGATGCATAACGGTAATCGAATTACGGGTCGTGCAATTGCGGTCTAACTGGTCGCTTTATGCAACTGTCGTTGCAAGAAAAGCGTCGTTCACGCCTCGGACGGGGCCAAGGGCCGTGGCAGTGGGAGAAGAAAACGGCAAGGGAGTTCGAGCGGAGAAGTTAAGGCTGTCAGCATATTGGCGGCGCGTCGGACCTTACCGAAAAACCCTAATTATCGTAAAGTTTTATGAACGGTTGCGCCAGAAAGCCGACTCGCAGGGGAACAGGGCATGCCATTTCTCTCTCAGTTTTTCCCCCCCTCATTTCTCGTTTCCCATATATCTCTTTTTTTTTGCCCATTTTCCCGCGCGTGAAAGCCAAGCGGTCGTAGTTTCGCGACGGCTGCCGCTGTTGCGCTAGCTCCTTAATTAATTACAATTAGTTTAATAGAGTCCCGGTGTTGCGCCCCACCGCCACTAAATTCTTAATTCCTTGAGCGGTTAGCGAGACTCGCGTACCAACTCTCGCTTAATTCACTTCACTAACGTGGCCGTTGCGTTGTGTCTCGCGGCAGATGTTCGTCAGGCTGTTCGTCGACGAGAACTTGGATCGCATCGTGCCGATTTCGAAGCAGCCGAAGGAGAAGATACAGGCAATCATCGATAGTTGCACGAGACAGTTTCCCGAGTTTGCCGAGAGGGCCAGGAAGAGGATCCGAACGTACCTGAAGAGCTGTCGAAGAAACAAACGCAGCAGAGAGGGCCCTTGGGACGCCGTAAGTTTTCTACCGCGTTTAATCGTAGGATAGCAAGCCAATTAATTTCTTTTTTTTCCCTTTTAAGTTTTGATACATATTCGAGCTCAAAATTGCAATTACGCGAATTTTAGAGTTGCGTTCCGAATGTTTCGGGATTTTCGGGTCTGGTCTGCCTCGTCAATTAAGATCGCGAGCCTCGAATGATCCGTTTGAAATTTTGTTCACGAAAGCTCGGAGCATTCTCGCGGCGTGACTCAAACTCCGGTATGCGGCCAGCGATCACGGATGTGACGTAGACATTTCTTTTTAGGCCAGACCCACACCGGCACACTTGACCTCCGTGCAGGCCGAACAAATACTGGCAACGGCCTGCGAAAACGAGAGCGACAATGCAAAGCGCATGAGAGTTGGTTTGGAGCCGGTGTCACAGCCCATGCCAACTCTTCCTGCCGCCACGGTGAGTAATAATGATCGAAGACGCTGGAGAACTCGCTCAAGAAACACGAAAGCGATAAAGTCCTTCTATGAATATATGTCATCATTATATGTAAGTATGTGACGCAATTTACTTGCGTCTCCGGCACGTGTACAACGATACGATACAAGACACCGAAATGTATCGTCGATTTGAAGCCCCTTACTCTCCAAAAGTCAATCAGTTAATTATCACTGATAACAGTTATAAGTATAGCACTGAATTATTCAGTGTTAAATTTATAACTGTAAATCAGTAAATATTCGCTGTTTTCAGCGATAATCCACTGATTAACTTTAAGAGCACTGTTGCCCCCCCCCCCCCCCCGCGAAGATTGCGTGTGTTTTCACGGACGTTTTTCTAAATATCGTCTACGTGGACGAGCGTTAGACGCTACACGTGTACAACCTTCGAACACTCTTGCCGATGACCGGATTCATTAATCAAGCGATTTTTAGATGAGAACTCGCGGATGTTTGCACGATGCGCTTATGAGTCATAAACTGAAGTATGCAAAGCGATAACTTGTGGCAATAAATATAAATCTGCACGAGAGTGAAATTGCAATAAAAAGTAGATCAACTACTTGCTGCGGTATCGAAGTCAACATGAAACGAATTCGAGATCATGCCAAGTATTTTCTACATAAAGCCACAGATGACATGACAGTCTAATAAAATATTGAGTAAATGATAAGTTGGTAAAATTTGTCAGCATTTTAAGTAAAAAAAAAAGCATCTTCGTTATTTGTTCCTAGTGTTACTGTTTTATCCAAACATGGCTGTGATGCATCACGCAGCAAACGCGTGTACAAATCACGTAGGAATTCTGGCAACTCGCTGGCATTTAGATCGAGCCTCGCGTGAAAGGGACTATACCTTTAATTATCCCTTAATACATTTATACATTCTACTGTACGCATTTGAATTTTGTCTTCTCTCATCGCTACTGAAATCAACACTTGTTATCGACCTAATAACATTGATTATTATTCTAATGGCTACGAATCTCAATAGATACAGGGTGTGACAAAATAAATAATATAAATATATGTTATAAATAAGTAAAAAAGCAGAGGATAATAAGTGTCACAGAAGACGAAATGTGATCCAAAGGGCAGAAAGGAAAATGCGAACGGAAAGAGGGCAAAGGAGAGTCTCGATCGCGAGTGAACGTCGTAGTCTCGCGTAGCATTATCGTGCGTGAAAATTCGACGAGCTCCTGCGCAACGCCGACGGCAGCGTAATATACGTGGACGGAGAGCTAGGATTGTGATATAGGTACCGCGAGAGAGGCCAGTGATAACCCGCGGGTCGCGCACCTCTCCCACTCTGACGCAACTCGCGCACACAGATCGCGCACCGCGGAGGGCCGGCGGCATAAGCAGCCTTCGACCTCGTGAAAACGGCTGCGCGTGCGGGACGGGAAGACACTGAAAATATTCTTGGGAGTAGTGGCAGCGTAAAAGAGTGGCGCGCGGGACGAAAGAGAGAGAGAGAGAGAGAGAGAGAGAAAAAAAAAGACCGTGGACTTTTACGCGTCGCGTCTGACGCGCGCTTTCACGCACCGGAGGAGAACACGCCGACGTCGCGCGATTAGTCTCGCGTATCCGTAAATTTCACGGTACGTTACGCCGGCTGCGCGAAGCGGACAGTTTCGTATTCGAAGAGCCGCGCCGAAAAATTGCCGCCCGGCGACTCGATCGGCGCGAGTCGGTTTGATTCTTGAAAATTCACCGGCGCCCAAGCGGGAAAAGCGACCGGCGTTAATCTCGCGGACGCACAAGTCGGCTCGTGTTGACGTCACGCGTGTAATCTCGGGGACGAGAGCGTTCAACGATTCGGCGATATGGAAGCGATCTCGACAACGTTTCTCGCGATTAAAACTTGAATGTTCGTCACCTATAGCCTGCACGCCGAGTTCGTTGGCCTTAATAAAGATAGCTCGCGAAAAAGCGAGCAAACGGTAAACCGATCGCCTCGGTATTTCGCGCACGAGACGTATAGATGCGGACGGTAGCCCGAGCCATCCAATTCCGCGCTACTCGGCGCACCTAATCCTCCTTCTCCTCGTTTCCCCTCTTTCCTCTCTACTCCCAGCTGGTTCCTTCGCGGGTCTCGCAGTTGGCGAACTCGCCGCCGCTCTCCATCGCTCCCTCTCTTTACCTCACCATGTCTCGCACGCAAACGAGAAACTGAAACGCTCGCGGTCCCTCGTCGTCGGCCCCTCCGACTTATCTACTTTGAAAATCCCTGCCCGAGAAGGAGACGGAGAAACAGAGAGAGACCCGATAACCTCTCCGGCGACCTAAACCTAACCCATTAAGGAGAAGACCTCTCTCTCTCTCTTTCTCTCTCATATACGTATACCGGGGTTCGTGCGCATCGGACGAAGCGGCTATCTGCTCTTCGTGGCCACCTATATAATTGACGTCAACGCACACTGCTGGCCTTTCATAAAAACACCTCCCTACATCCGTTTTACGCCGCTCGAAGATTTCATTCCTCCGTGCTCTCGTGCCCGGGCCCTCTTCCCGCACTCCTCACGATCTCTCGACTCTTCTCCGCATTCTCCTCCTCCTCTTCCTCCTCCTACTACTATTACTCTTCGCCAACCCTCTGTACGCGTCTCACTCGATCTTCTCTTTCGCCGGGCAAGTCATCCGTTTCTGCGGTGGAAACGCACATCACCACCTCTCGACGCTCTCACCGTGGTCCTCCTCTTCTTCTGCACTCCTCTTTCTTTTCTGATGCCCGCTCCTCCTCCCCTCCTCCTCTTCCTCTCTCTTTCCACGAATTAATTTCCTCCCGTGAGCTTACTCACGCCTCGTCGTTTCGTCCCGGCGCATCCGGACGTTCTCTCTTCTTGTTCCTGACGTTCCTCCCTCGTGTCAACTCGCTTTTTCTTCATCCTCTTCGTTCGCCCCACCCCTCCGCCGTTCCCTCGCCGGCGGCCGGGAACGACGTCCTCGCTTCTCTGAACCTCGCACGAATAAACGCGGACGTTATTGTTATCGTATCGATACGTCGCTGGTAGGCAGGGTGGGGCGCGGACGCAAAAGTGGAAGAAGATCGAGAGAAGAAGCAGAAGAGGAAATCGAAGTGAAGAAACTCCCGGCGCGCTTTGTTCCGCTCGGTTGCTCATAGCGGTGAATACGATCGTGCTCGATGATCGGGATCGCGTTGATAACGAGATCGCGGGTAGACGATATAATAGGGGCTCGATTAGCTCGTGTCGGGGCGATCCTCGCGGCTGATGATCGATAATTCGTAAGGTGATCGATAGTGTCCGTGTTGTTTGCTGATTAGTCACGTGCTTGCGAAAGACTGGTTTTACTTCTGGCCGTGTCAGCCATGAGGAAAAAGAATCTACCGGTAGTTCACAAGCTGGTGCGCGATCACGATCAAATTCAACAGGTACAATTATAGCAGGCTCGCCGCGCGCGATGCTATTTTACCATCGCCCTTCCATATCTCCACGTAGTTGTAGCAACATCAGAGTAACGATTATTCGTTGATACTCGGCGGATCCTCGATGGAACTTGCAAGTTCTCAAATCTTACTTTTCGACTATATCGTTGCTTGAAACCGTGCGATTTTATAGAAGAGAATATTAATATGAAAAATAGGCACGTGACTCAAGTCAATCGGATTTAAACGTATCCGAAAGATATGCAAAATCGCAACACTTAATACGACTCCAAAAAAAAAAGATATGAGCTGACGTCATATTAGCTCACAATCGTGACTAAATTAGTTTTCGATCGGCATTGGACAGGATTGGGTTCAAAAAATGCTTAAAAACGTATGAAGATTATCACTTTTCATAGGCAAGACAGGCTTCGTGCAAACGAAAAGGCGACTCAGTGATCACAGGCGTTCGGTTAATAAGCGACTGTGTGACAGTTTTATCGAAAGAACGTGCCAATCGAGCCTTTGAAAGAAAATTTATGTCTGTCAGAAAGATATCATGATAGACAAAATATTTATGATTGGTACAATTTTATTTTATCTTGCGATAATGTCGATTGCAGCAAACGGACGTTCGATCAAGTTTAGAGCACTTCTCAACTACACCGGTTAAATCACTTCCGTGCAAGAGGGAGGACACCCCTCCGGCATCGTTAACGTCTCTGGCACCTCTGACCAGTTTGGCGAACTTACCGAACAACACTATTGCCTCCACGCCGCTGTCGATCGCATCTGCGTCAAAGCTGCTCCCAACAGACAACAAGACTCTCCTGAGGTCAGTATGATGAACTAGTTACGACAAAGCAAGACGAATCAAGTCTGCGTTTTCTCGAATTGGATCGACGTAATAGAGCCGCGCTCTTATCCGTTTCTTAATTAGCCAGAGTCAGCCCAGTCGAATCGATTTGATAATAAAGCATAAAAATAAACTTTCCTCTGGATCAAAACTTCCGCCGGTGTCGATTTATTATTAACTGCTCATTTGGCGAAAGAAATCTACCATTATATCGCCTGGCGTGATTACTATTAGCTTACTGTCCGCCTGAATTACCGTAACCGATTATTATTATCGGCGCTAAGATCCCCGTCGTCGAATCCACCGAGTTCTAGATAAGGCTTCGCCTTCGGTCACAGGTCATGGCACAAAAATTCACCGGACGCTTCTCGTCGAACGGGTTACGCGTCCTTAGCGGAACGTGTGAAGCGCTAATCAGCCGCGACCTTTATTGGCTAGCGCGCATCTCATTCTCATTGCGTCTAATTTTTTTTCAGCCAATCAACGATAGTTAGTTCGACGGTGAATGGTGTCGTCAGTGGCGGTGCACCGACGATGTACAGACCCAACTTCAGCCAAGCGTTCCAGCGTGCCGGGCCCACAACGGTACCGCCGACCCTCTCAGCCGGGCTATATCCGACTCAAAGTTTTACGTCGAGTCTACTAAGCAACGGTATACAAAGTAAATTGGTTATTGGTGTTACACGTTGACCTTATTGCACTTTTCAATCAAATAAATGGTTAACTGACACGATGTTCAAATTAACAAGTAACAAGGAAAAGCTGGAAATGAGTCCCAATTTTCATTTCTATTCCGAATATTTTGTAGACTAGAGATATTTTTTAATATTTTCTCTTGGAAATTACACTAGCTTCGTACATATAATTTTTTAATATTCACCTTACGCTCGCCGGAGAGCTTGAGATTATTTAATTCGTCTATCATAGTGTCGCTAAAGATGGCTCGAACTACAGCCAAAATATACGATTTATATAATGTATTAAATTATTAAATGTTACATAACATTAACTCACGCACAGCTCATCGCGTTTGACTCTCAAAGCCCACTCTTCCTCGTTGCTGATTAACCTTTTCAATTGTTTGCGTAAAGGCATGAAAATATATAATATTAAAGCTCCATTCTTATCGAAGCTTAGATCAAACATTTTTTCACAACTTTAAATCTAAGTTTGTGGATTTTTTTCGCGTCCAATCGGCATGTATTGACCATATAGATTAATTTTAGAAACTGCTTGCAGTACTGTTTTGCCACGAGCGTTAATGCTACGGTTTAAATATATTTAACGATGGAGCTTGCATGCAATTTTGTATTCCACAACATGCTTGCTTTGATAAAACTTATCAGAATGAAATTGTCGCAACTAATATTGAATCTACGTTATCCTTGCAGGACCGACGGACCTCAGCATGAAGAACCCACCGAAGCCTGCTCTGCTGAGTCATAAACTAAACTCGATGGAATTGACCGCGGTGAAGCAACTGATAGGTGGATATCGAGAATCGGCCGCCTTCCTGCTTAGATCCGCTGATGAACTGGAGCAACTGTTGCTCCACCAACCATAGAGCTACGTTTATTTGGCCAGCGTTCGGCAGCTTGGCTCGTAGTCACAACGATCGACGGGAAAGCAACGCGCGTATTGATACACAGCGCCTGTGTGAGCACCGAGAGTTACGTCAAGAGTCAGCGTGGAATCCTCTCTTCAAGGCCGTTTATGCCGCTACTCTGTCGGCAACTCCATTGCGCTACACACGAACTTATCATTTGCTGTAAAACGCTCCGCTTGGACGAAACTAAACGCATTCGATCCAACTCTCTAAAAGTTAATCAGTGGTTTATCATTGAGAAATGTGAATATTCACTTATTCGCAGCTATAATGCACTGATTGACTCTTGGAGACTTTAAGGTTATAAGTTTAAGTATCAAAATTTTGAATTGACGAAACAAGTTTGAAAATAATTTGACAAATCGATAGAAGTTACTTTAAAATGTATAAAGAGATTGTTTTTAACGGAAGCCGAGAGGCTACAAGCGCGACGAAAAATTCACAGAGTTCTGCAGGATTCTGCAAAAATCCTGCCGAATTTGATCTTTATGTGGATACATCATAACATCTCGTTTAGAAGAGTTCCATGTACATAATGAATAATTACATATTTCATTATGCGCATCGTCGCGATATTTCTAACTCCTAGGATTAAGAAAACTATTCGAACAGGGTGTATATAAAAAGATATTTACTTAATTACTGATAAGCTTACAGGATGATAAGGCGGCGAGCTAGGATGCGTGCGCGAGTGATGAAAGGAAGTCGAAATGAGAAGAAGCTTCCGGACGACAAGTTATTCGTGAGCGTGCGCTTAGTATTTTCTAACGAGGATGAAAACGTTCCGAAACTTCTTCTTTGCGGTCGGGTGATGCGCTTGCATTTTTTCCTACTCAGATTCGTAAGCTTCGAAAAACCGTTCGTGAGAGCTCCATAAATCTACCGCAAGTATATTCAACCGTTTCAATGACGGCCGACAAAAAGCTGTCGCGTGTTCTTACGAGACGGTAATTTCGCTAATATGTTTGTTGTCGTTATGTACATATGACGTAAATGATATATGACGAGAATAGTTGCTCTCGTGCGTGAGAAAGCGCGATTAATTCACGCGGCGGAATCGCGCCATTTACTTCGACAGTGGCATTTATACATCCGCAGGATCCATTCGAGATGCAAAAATGATGTAATAGAATTTGAATTTTACAGAGATTATCCAAATTACTGATTTCTCGCCATTTTTGGAGCAAATGGTGGATCACAGCTGAAGATTATACGACAAACATACGTGTATATAAAAAGAGAATGCACGTTCGCGCATTGATACACGTGTATATAATACGTAGGTTGCAAGAGACACGGGATGGATTTTTTTATTGGCGACGCGTCAGAGGCCTCGTCAGTGGAGATTAATTAGTTAAATAATTAACGATTACTGTACAACGTCGTCGTAATGTAGTTAGAACCAGAGTCGTTTTGGAAGCGAAGGAGCGTAGTGATCGAGAGTATAATTTCGGGACCATCTTGTCACGATCAGACAATACGTTACAACCGTATTCGTGGTCTCCGGACGCATCACTGTGTTACCAAAGAACACTAATTATTATGGGTAATCATAGTACTACTTAAGCGTCGCGTTCTTCTTCTTTCCGTTATTCCTTTCAAACGACACTTCATTTCATGAAAGCGCGAAATCATTTTCTTCATCGATCAATCACATGAAGATAATATACATAAACGCCACTATATATGTGGATTACGTGATAGACAGAACGTCATTTCAGATGTTGAGTTGACCTATTACTCGTCTTATTACCATTAAAATATTGACTTTATATCACTATGGCATATTATTATTATTATTATTATTATTTTCTATTATTATCATCGTTACTACCATCACGATTATTAGCCATTGATATAATTGTTCGTGAATCGAAAAATCGCGAGAAGGTAGGACGCGAGATATGAATAGTTTATTCTGTTCTCCAATGTCATTTTTCACGGAAAGTTTCCGCTCGTTAAGTCTACTTTGTCGTTGTTTTGTACATAGTTTATAAACAGATATAAAGATGACGGAAATTAAGTTGCTTAAGTAATTAGATACAAAGAGTATATAAATATATATGTATAAGCAAATGCAAGATACTTTATGCGAATGCTGTCACCGTCGAACTTCAAGCGCAAAACATTCCAATGAACAAAATGCAAACAGAAATGTAGACCGGAAAAAGGGCGAATAAGAAAAATCTAGGAAAATTTCATTAAAAAAGTAAAAATGAAGGAGAGAGAGAGAGAGAGAGAGAGAGAGAGAGAGAGAGAGAGAGAGAGAGAGAGAGAGAGAGAGAGAGAGTGTGTGTGTGTGTGTGTGTGAGAGAGAGAGAGAAAGAGAGAAAATACGTGTGCATGTGTGTGTGAACATGCGCTCATCGAAGATTTTATGGAAATCACGACTTTTACTGATCGACAATAGTCGTACTTCCATTTTCCTTTTCCGTTTTGCGAATGAATCGCCGCGGCGAGACGCGCCCGTCGTCGTGTGAGCGATCGAAATTACTAATGTTTGCGGCACTTTAATGAGAGAGGATCGAATAAAGCGTTTCGTCAATTGGAACTAATTCTTATCGCCTCAATCATTTGAAACTCCAAATACTTGCAAGATGGTGTACACGCCGCCCTCCCCGCGAATGCAATTTCCCGCCCGTAGTAAACGGACTCATCTCTTTAATCGACACAGTGCAATAGTCTATAGCGATACCGTCGTACTACTACCGTGTATTGTCAATCGTCATCACAATCATGCTTCTGTCATGCACGACATAAATAGTCTCAGCTATCCCCCACCCCCACCTTTCTCCGCGCTGTCCCTTTGGTTTCAAGCAGGCATCACACTACGTCATGGATATTAGCAGTTACTGACAAGTTCATATCTTATACCATACCACTAGCATCGTACATTTATACGTAATTCACCTCAGATCTTTGTAACCGTACACATCGCGAGGGCCGAGCTCCGTTTTGCGTACCACATGTTTCTCCCTCCCCCTCGAATCCGATGACCAACAGTGTTCGCTTTTGCGCGTTCTGCTAACAATTAATATACAATTATACCTCGACGAATCTAGGATTTATGGATTCGTGACATTTGACAACTAATCGAAAAGAATTCATTGTAAATATTATTTTCGACCAAACAGGAAACGAATCCAAATAAGAGTAGAATTGAATCCTGTCAACGATAATCGTTGCACTTTTTGCAACTTGACTGATCCGAAAAACCTGGACCTATCGAACATCCGAAACACGAAGTAAAAGGAAAAAGGAAAGACGAAGGAGACGAGACAGTGGAGAAATTTATGGAGACCGAAGAAACGTGCGACACCACTCTGTTCTTCTTTCTTTTCCTACGTTCGATAAAAAAGTATCCGTCGTGTACCTTAATTCGCCTATGCGGAAGTGCAGATCTACTGTTCATATATAGTCGCGAATCGATGTATATTGATTAAAGAAAAAAAAAATGTATTTGTTCCTAAAGAAATATTAAGAGTAGTAATATACCGTAAAAGAAATATATTAATATTAATAATAATGATAACGATAATTTTTTTTTGATGGTACTTTCTTATAAGTAACATTATACATTACTACGATTATTGTAGAGTTGGTACGGTTCTTGAGGATGCCTTGCCTGTAAATGTAACATACGTTAAATGACAAAAAAATCTTATTATCTTGTAAATGTTTTACCAAATATAATCGATTATTCAACTTATACTTCAGTCTTATTTTCTCTAATTGTCCAATGCCCTGCCTGCTTCGACGTGTCGGCAAGATTTACGACAAATTGCATTCTTCCTTTTCTTCGCTTTTTTTTTTAACCGTTGGACCTTCTCTTCCGCGTGATTAATGTCGACCAAAAAAAAATCCCGTAAAACCACGGCCCGCCAATATATAAATATCGGGGCGCATGCATAATCGCAGCGCCTTTAAATGCGACGAGTAATCGACTCGATAATGTATTATGTCTATATGCGTATCGGACAAAATGGAAAGTCGAATAAGCATTGGTGCGCAAGATCACGATCTTGGCTCTGGATTATGAAACTCTACCTTCTCGCAACAATGTGGCAAGATTTAAAGCTTATTACGCCTATTCATTCACCTTTTCGAGAAATCTTGCGCGGACGCCGGTTTTTATTATATACTTCACCAAATAAGGAAATTACGCAATACACGTAAGGAAATTATGTACAATATCAGCATTTTAATCTAACTTAATTACGATATTTTATTGCCAGACATATATTTTCCTCGCAACAGTGATTTCTTCCTTTATGCAAAAGATACCGCTAGGGCATGGTAAGTGATAAGCGAAGTATTGTATCTAATTAACGAAATCACCCGGCATATTTCGCAATGTGGATTTAAACGATTATCAGCGGCAATGTAATGTGATCTTACGTGGCGCACAATGGAAAGTCAAACGAACGGACAGCGCGATCTTTGATGCAAGGAGATTGCGAAACGGCACCGGTCACTCGGACAGAGCAACTTAGATCACGCTGGAAGGCCGCGGCACGAACGCCTCATTTCAATAATCTCTCGATCAAAATTTTTTCCACGAATACTTTCAAGTCCAACGAGATAAAAAATACTTGAGATAATCTACATACGTTCAATCAGATTTATCACAAATATCAATCGCAAGTAACAGATTATTATTAATGGAAATTGCTCGGAAAGCAAAAGTTGTGGGTCATTTTTTGTCAGTTTTTACTCCTTCGCTTCGTAATAACAGTCCGGTGGGAATACAGCGGGTGGTTCAAATCTGCGCGTTCACGATCCGTCGAGCGAGTCCCGATGGTCTCGCACTGGACACACCGGATCGTTGGGCGAACGTTCAGTCGCCGTCGTTTTCGAGAAATGGCTTCTGACCAAAAGTTCGTCCCACCACGCGGCGCAGAATCCCACGTAAGGCGCGCGTGTGTACACGTGCGTACACAAGCGCAAATCGATCCGAGTGTCTCGAGACGAGGAATATCGGCGGGAGCTCGTTTCCCGAGAATCATAAAACGTTTCCTCCGCCAGGTTCTCTCCGGAGTAACGTCTATCGGCCGACAATGCATCACGGGCTTTACGAAGGTCTTTGCATTCGAATGGCCCGCGAGTTTCAGAAGAACTCGCCACTCGAACGTGTATACGTACAGCATCTTGGCATATGTGCAAAAATGTATATTTCGTGCGTGCATTAGAACTTTTCCCTTCTTACGCTGATCGTTTCGTTTTATAAATAGACTATTTTTATAAGTTTTACTAATTTCGTAATAAATAGATTAAAGAGCTTCGAAATTATTTGTCCTATTTGAAAAGTTTTCATATTTCTTTCAAATTATACTCGCTGATCCTTTACCCTTGACAGGGCGTGGTGGCGTCTCATGAGTTGACTCTCGATAAGTCATACATACATCAGGCGCTGTCTTGGGAAAATAATCAGATGGTTTCCCCTTGCCTGCCTGATCCTATGCCGTTGACTACATAAAATAGTTCATCCGCCTTTGAGGGTGATTTCTCACCTCTCAGGACAAGAGAGTACCCTATTCAGCAAGCTGATTGGTTGCTTATACCGGCAATCCTCTCGATCCCCCTCTCGTTAGCCGCTAAAGGGGTATGTGTGGCGAGATACTCTCGGTGGTTGCAACTTCCCTTTTGAGAAGTGGCGTCTGAAAGGACCAGCGGTGTCCTGGCTGGATTTAAACTCTGGTCGTTTATTTACTAAGCGGCGCACATTTCTCTGTGCCACGCTCGCCACACTCGTCGATACGTGACTCTTTATTATAATAGCATAATAAGTAAGCATGTTCTGCTTCGTGAAATAGAGAATTAGCTACTTAGAATTCGACCTTGTTCCGAGTTGACCTCGTAACTTTGCCGAAGTAGGACGGGGCAGCCCGCAAGTTTGTATAATTAAGCTGCTCAGGCAACACTGTACTTTAAAATTCACACATGATCGCGTCGTGCAGTAAGTAATAACATTCGCACGCTGCTCGTTATGCATATTCAACCCTGAAGAGAGAGAGAGAGAGTGTGTGAGAGAGAGGCGGTCCGTCGCGCAAGTGCGCTGAGGTCAGCGTGTTTTCTACGGCTATCACACATCGCTAGTGTTAAAGAAGCCCTACACCAATATACCTACGCGCGCGTATAGGTATGTATGCGGTATCTACTTAACGTATTCCACGCGTGTGCTAACCGGCGAAATAGTATGTAACACACTCGTCGTCCTCGGTTGCACCGGGCGTGGTGCGCGCGACCATAACGGATGTCTTTGCAGCAATAACTTCTTTCTCACGCGCTTTAGCGAAGCTGAATAACGGCGGGATATCTCGGCGAGATTATCTCTGACTATTTTGTAATTATCGACTGTTTCTCTACTCCTTTTTGGCCAATCGATGTAACTCTCTATAGCTTCAGTTTCTCTACACCTTCTTATCCAGTCCAGTTTATGAGAGCTACATGGCTTCTTGACCGCCAAATCATAAAACACTCATCTTTAGCTCGACTGAGAACGTGGGATACATAATGTATTTGCGTGACATTGCTGACAATGGCTCAAAGCGGAGCTAAAACGTCCGTATTATCACGTACTGTGAACTATAATTAAATATAATTATTCTAATAATTCACAAACCAACCGTTTCGTACACACTCAATGCTCATTTTAAACTCTACTCGATTCAGGAAAATTTATGACAAATATGTATGACAACATCGGTTTCAATTATCAAATTTATACAATTTATATTAGACGTAATATTTGGTTGATAATTTCTACATTTTATTTCTATTCCCTCTTCAATTAATTACGCATATTTAATTAAAACATATACTTTTGTACAAGTATAACGCGTCTATAAATGATCACGTGAAATCAGTGTTTGTTATTAATCTCGTTTTCGTAGTTGGTATTTATTTTGTGATCAATAAAATATTGTGGGATTCGTAACGAGCTCTCATTAAAAATAAGCTATAATTCCGCATTGTATAATTGATTAATATTTATAACCAGATTCGCTTTCGTGTCATGCCTACACAACAATCTCGATAAACTATCGTCGAGTAATTACGAGCACTCGTTAACAGGCGTAGAAAGAATACCGATGCGCCGTAAACAACCGTATCTGCACCTCTGCGAAATTAGTATTCCGTTTTTGAAATTTTCATACATCCGATCGAACCATCGCCAAAATCAGCAGAATTCTATTAATTAGCAAGAACAGGATGCTAATGTTATTACGAAGATTACATATCGCGTATTGTTTTCG